ATATATATATATGTATATATGAAAAATATATCAAAAATGCATGTGGGTACTCAAATGAAAGCTCTTGATGAGTGTAACATCGGGATGAGCTTATATCTTTAAAAACGTCAATAGTTAAAAAAGTACAGTGCAATTTAACAAGTCATTATTTAATATAGCAAAATTTTAATTATTTACAGTTCACAAGTCACAGCAGTCACGTAGTGACTGCAAGGTTGCTAGTTAAAATATTCAATTAAATGTCAAAAATTTGATAAAAAAAATTGAGCCAAAAGTTTGAGAAAAACAATTACAAATCAACATTAATAAAAAATAAATAATTAAAATATTGGATTAAATTTCAAAAATTTGATTAAAAAAAAAAGTAGACTCAAAAATTAAAAAAGAAAAAGTCAATATAAAAAAAAAAAGTTAAATGTAAAAAATTTGACACTGTGACATAATTTCCAGTAAAAATCTAAATAATAATACTAAAAAGACCTTCAATAACCATCACCAGTTAAAGACCGTATCTTAGAAAGACATACACTGTACAAATATATTAGTTATATTAGGTGATGGGTATATATGTAAAAGTAGATGTAGACACGCGTAAAATAAAGAGCAAATGTTGTAAATAGTGAGTGTTAAAATACACAAAATACAAGTTTTTAGTACAGTAGGTATGGACTCATACTACCGGAGCAAATTTTCCAGCTTTCACGAGGATTTTCACGCACTGGGAGAGTCCTTGAACTAATCTCTTATTTTTATTATTTTTTTGTCCTTTCGAAAACAAGTTTAGGACTCGGTAACCTGTGGATCTGGGATTATTGTTAGATTAACCCGATTCTAAGCTTCTAAACTTTTATTTTCCCAGCTCACCTTGTCAATTTATCCTGCCACGCGACACCTTGTTAGTCACAGTTTTAACTTGTCAACATATAGCTTATTTCCGACGTCTTACTTCTCACAGAGAAAAAATTTCTTTAACTAAAAAATTGCCGTAAAAATTGCAATTTTTAATTTAATAACAAATTTTACATTAAATTTAAATTTATTAATTAATTATAAAAATTCAGCTATTTAATCTTAACTCTAAAAATAGCATATTGTACTTTAGCACTTGGAGTAAAAATATTAAAAAAATTCTTGAGCTGATAAAAAGACTCGAAAAAAGACCCAGCAAAGACAAAAGCAAAGTGTAAAAGCAGCTATATGTATGTTGTATGTAGACGTGATGATACGTGACAATAAAAAATCACACAAAAACATGAGTACTAATTTCAAAAACGCTTCTATCCTATCCTATCCCATCCCCGCAGTTAAAATTAACAGCCGAGTGATCACGAATGGGCATTTCAAGAATCGGGAGACATTTTTTAATATTCCAGTAGTGCTGGGAAAAGTTAATCGGGACAAAGAGCCGGACTACTCATATATCCACGCTTCACTGGACCCACTTTTTTTTTCATATTTTGTAATAAAAAAATCTACGCTAAAGTTCAAAATAAATAGATAATACACAACATAAATAAAACATAAATAATGTACCTTCATGCGGGGACAGCTAATCCAGAACAAAAACTTTTTGAAATCCGTGAGCAAACGGAAAAAGTGAATTTATTGATTTATTAATTTTTATTATTGTCGAATTTGCAATTTTATTCAAGGAGATCTACGCGAAGTCAAATTTTTAAATTTAATCTACGGAATAATTAATTAAAAAATTAAAAAACAGTTAGGAAAATAATTAGGAAAATTGTAATTTTTGCATGAAATAGAGATTCCACCAGCCGGTATTTGGTTAAGAATTTAATGCAATTAACGATTTAAAAAAAATTTTATTTTCATTGAATTTGATTGAAAAAATAATAAGCTTTCGATTAAAACAATAAAAAAAGTAGCTTTCCGAACGTATTACGGAGATATTTTAGATTTTTAATGAAAAATCACTCGGAACTTGCGTTCTTTAAAGTCTTGTATTTGACTTGGCAACACCGCTCGCGCAGTTACTTATGCGCACAAGTAACCGCGGTTTTTTAAATGCTAGAAGATCTTAGTCATTTTAGTTAGACAGTATACATAAATAAATTTGAAGGTTAGGGATACTCTTTTTGTGTTGTCAAGTGTATACCGGTAATTCAGAGCGCTATATTTTTTATTATTCAATAAAATATTAATAATTATTTAATGAGTAAATT